AGAGGTGGGCAGCCCAGGATTTAAATTCTGTTTTTCGGCCCTACACCTAGCCGATGTGGAACTATTTGTCCGTGACAAGGAGGTGGCAAAGATAGCAAGTTTGCCAGGTGGCAGTGCTGGAGATAGAAGCAACAAGTGGGGCAGCGACACTGGGAAGGTTGAGTGGGTTGTCACTGTGAGGTGCAGACTGAGCCTATATTGCACTTTGGTTCGAATATAGAACAAATTTGAACGGTTTGATATCGAAAAAAAAAATTTAAGCATATGAGGCACATTCCTTAATCTAATTAAGACGAGGCATGCCTCAACCAATGTGAGCAATTGGCCTCGTCTGAGCTGCTCCAGGTATAAGCCTCAGCATGTTTTTTTTTTTCCTGAATTGCAATGAAGGGAACCTCAAATTGTGCGCTTTTAAACAATATTTTCATATGTGAGTTTTCCCTCACTGCAGTTTAGGGTATATTGTACAGTAAATATTGTTTGATCTCCTTAAAAATCCCCTCTAAATAACTATCAACTAGACATCGATCAAATATAAAATTTTTTTATAATTAACTTTAGTATTCGAACATATGCTCAACTAAGGCTTCAGTTGAGGATTCGTAACTTTTCTGGTTCAGCTTTTAAAGGTTTTTACTAACCACAGCTTCGTATATATGCTTTCTCAGAAACAACTTTTTAAAGTTACTTTAATAAAAAAAAAACTATGAGAATAAAAAATTATTTATTGTTTAATGTTTTCCCTAACAGGAAAGCAGTAAAAACACTAAGCAAATCAAAACCTAAATCAATTGTAGAAATTTTCCTACTAGCATAGAAAGATTTTTTCTTACATTTAATCCAGTTCTAATTTCATAAAACTAGGCATCAGCAAATCTGTCATCCATGCATTTATTTCTCATGGAGATTGTTCATAAAAATAATGAACCATTGTCTGATTACATATGAGAGACTAGAAATAATGAAATGAGAAAAAAAATTATTAAAAATAAATGCTATAATATATATATATA